GGGGGAGGGGGGTCCAAACCAGCCCTTGATCCTGCATCCTTATTTCAACCTGGGAAAATAAGTGGGTCAAAAGCAATACTGAAGAAGTCAGTGTCCCCAACCTTTCCAGGTCCCGTGCCCCTAACGTCTTTGACGAACGTATCGCCCCCCTGGAAAACCAATCGCTGTCCTTGCTGAGTTTCACAAAGCAACTGCACTACCTGCTCATCTTCAGCCTCACGCTCAAGCCTCGGAGTCTCGCTAAGACGCCTCAAGACGCCATGGTGGATGTTGCACAAGACGTTCAAGAGTGCACGCTTCTCTCGAACTTGGCATGCCTGGCATCCACGCTTCTGCTGTAGAACGCGGCGATGAAGCCACACTTCCATGAGGCTGGCCCCCTCATGGCAATGCCAGTCTTGAGCGCGACAGGGACAGTACAGGCGGCTGCCTCCGTCGGGAGCGGCCCACGTGGTCTCCCCGTGGAGCCGGCCGGGCCCGGGCGCTCTGCCCCTGCTGGTCTTCCTCGAGGCCAGGGCGAGTTCGGCCCTGGTGATGAGAGTTTGGCTCCCCGTGCAAGCCTCAAGGGCGGGACCCGGATCCTGCTGGTCATAGTCGCGAGCGATATCGTCAGAGTTGGCACGGCGAGTGTGCTCGTTCTCGGCGGGGCAACGTGGCAAGGCATCTGCATCTCGCTCGGCGAGCAGAGGGTTCCCAGCAGAGCCAAGTCCCATGGAAGACGCGAGGAGGGTCTTCATTTTGTTTCCCGATCACCTGAGAAGAACGCCCAAATCCCTCCAGGTCGTTGTGTAACCAGGTTCCAGGGACAGGCATACATGCTGGGCTTTGTTTTGCGAAAAGCGAGCCTATTCCCCATGCACTTGATCATGCAACGAGAGGGTGGTGAAGGAGACGAAGGCAATGCGGCTCAACAGCCATTCATATTGGCCATGTCTCTTCCATGGCACACACACACACTTGACATCCGTCCTCCTCATCATCAGTTTCACGAACCCCGCCTATAGAGATCTCTGAGAGCAGCATGCGCAACGTACTTCATCCATGCATGCAAGCGTTGCCAGGAAGATCGCTTGTTTGTGTCCGGGAACCGTCCAGGACTGCCTTGTAGCCACAGTTACACCTCCTTCGATGTTTCGCTCGAGCGCACGCTAGGGCAGGTCTGGAGGCTGATTCTGAGGGGAAGCATATCCGAGCGTTTTCTCTAGGTGGAGGGCAAAGGGTGAAATCTGAAATGTCGTTCCGATTGATTCTCGAGGCTGGAACCTGCAAGAGGTGAATCGCAAGACGGATTGATCCTCGAGATGCAAAAGCCCATACGGATTTCACCCTGAGCCCTCCACCCTAAGAAAATGCTCAGCATATACTTAGTTCTTAATTCTTCGCGCATTCCCACCAGCCCATCCAACAAGGATGCCCAGGAGAGCCGCTGGCAGAATGGAAGTACATGAGCAAATAGTGAAGCAGGGAGGCCGGCAGTGGAGGCCCGTTGGGGCCACCTCGGGTCTCTCTGTGGGCCCTTTTGGGAGCATTGGAGGCCCTCTTGGGGGGCATGCTTGGTGCCCTCTTGGGCGCCTTTCTGGGACACTCCTGAGGCCATCTTAGGAAAACCACCGCCGAAGAAGAGGTCGCGATGACTGCGCCCTCGCCGCATGCCCAAAACTCACATCTCGGAGCCCTCCTGCGGCGCAACTTGGGCGCTCTTCGGGCCGCCTTGGAGCCTTCCTGGGCCCATCTTGAGGCTCTCTTGGGCGATCTTGAAGACATCAAAAGATCATCTTGAGACATCAAGAGATCATAGCTCTTGACAGCAAAAGATCATCTTGAATACATCAAAAGATCATCTTGAAGACATCAAAAGATCGCTTCTTAGGCGATCTTAGCCTTCCTGAGCCCATCTTGAGACATCAAAAGATCATCTGTAGCGAAATCCCGAGAAGGCACGAGTTGTTGAGGTCCGTGTGGTTATTGGCGTGGTTACTGGGGGGGTTGGGCATGGCCGCTTGGAGCCGTATTGGGGCGGTCTTGGAGCCCCGTGGACGGCACCTGGAGCGATCTCGAGTTTTTCTTTGTGCGGCCTTGGAGGCCACCCGGGGCCATCTGTCAGGAGCAAAAGAACACACAGACACAATTAATCCTCGATTCCCCAGAAAATGTGGGAAACTATGGGAAGTGGGGGGGACGACAAAACCCCAGAAAATATGGGAAACTATGGGGAATCGTTTGATTTGTGTGTATTTATTTGTGTGTCCTGGGGCCCCTTCAATCTGGGGCCACCCAGAAGGCATCTTGGCCTATCCTGGACCCCCGGACACCTCGTGCCCCGACCCGTCCAGGCACGGGGGGGAGGGGGAATTGGCAGGGCTCGACCCAAACGGTGTCCCTGCGATCTCGAGGACCGTCTTCGTTTTTGAGCTCGTCTCGCAGCAAAAGGCGGGACGAAGACAAAGCGAGGGAGAATGGCAACAGCACGAAAACGGAAAACACAGCTTAGGCCAAGCCTAGGGAAGTGGGAGGGGTAAGCTCTTCCCAGGAAGGAACAGGGGGGGTCGAAGAAGAGACTCTCGAAAGCACGTTCGCCCAGAGGGTGCATGGGATTCTACATCATCCCTTCGTCGTGACGAACACTCAGACGGTCGATCAACGTGATCTTAGCTCGGGCTTGGAGGGCCTGTTTTCAGTCCCAGGACGACAACAAGAACGGCCTGGGATGAAAACGATTTTCCCGCAACGGGTTGAAAGGCCTGGGACTAACGTCGGTAAGAATCTGACGACAGGTGTTTGGCATTTTGGCTCCAATGGGTGGCTTGGGTTTCTCCATCGATCTCATCAAGCGCCGGTTTGAGCCAGAGATGTGCATCCTTGCGTGTACGGGGCTCTGCCAGCCTTTGGCTGCACGTGCCCTCAGATCTAACCGTCGGGGATCACTTACGATGGGCGTCTTCGCCCCACTCCCGGACCTCAGGATCACAGAGCGAAACGCGGCTGGAGGGATGCCGCGGAAATCTGGCAGCACCCGAAAGGATGAGGCGTCACTATGACCAACTGTGAAGGCCCTACGGCTGGCGCCGCCGACCTTGCATGCGGGGAGGGGAGCTGGAGCAGGCGGACGAGGAAGAGGGGAGGGTCCTCTTCCAAACCTCCTGGGGGCTTCTTGGGTCTTCGAGAGCCTCTGGGGCCCCCCAGGCAGCACCCGAGAGGTTGAGGCGCAGCTGCGTAGCAGTCATTCTTTCCCCACTGCTGCCGCACATTTCCGCCGCGGCCGCCTCTCGCATGACTCGCTGCGCCCGTCTTCGCTCTTGCAGCGTGCTTGCGCCCATCATCGCGCTCAGACTCAACAGGCTGGTGCCCCATGATCGCACCGCAAACATCTGGCGCCTCGATTCGGCGACGAGCGAGGGGGAGAAGTGAGAAGGAGAAGGCCTTCTCAGAAGGCGGCGGGGCTTCTCGGACGCCCGGGCGCCTCCTGAGAAGTTTTCTGCGTCGTCGTTCGCGGCAGAAAACTTCTCAGCAGGCCAGGGGACTTCCGAGCCCTCTGAGGAGGCCTTCTCCTCCTCGCTTCCCCCCTCGCTCGCCGCCGACCACGATCGCACCGCAGACGTCCGGCGCCTCGATAGTTTGGGTGCGAGTGCCCCGGGGTCGGTCTTGCACCCCGAGTCGTTTTGTGGACGGCCCCGGGCTCGAAGGCGGACCTCCAGATGCGGTAGGTTCGTGCGGCGTTGGCGCGCCGGCGACGCCGGCGAAGGCGTTCAAGGTTGAACTCTGCGGCGCGGAAGCACTGAGGGACTCGGTGACGCCACTGGACCCGACGGAACTCAACCTCGAGCGATCGGGGCCGCGATCGGTTCAAGGTCGAACGATCGACGCGGTGTGAAAAACCTGTGCGCGCGCCAACGCCGCACGAACCTACCGTACCCCCAGGCGGCGACGGCCCGCCCAAGGGCCGGACGGCCCGATCCCTCCAGGTGCCTCGAAGGCTGGACGGCCCAGGGCTCCGACCGCCTCGATTTCTCGGGGCTCCGCATCCTAGGCCTCCCAGATGGGGTCGCAGTAGATGGGGTCGGAAGATCGCGCCGCATCGCCGATGCATCGGCAGTGCGGCTCGATGTGGGGCCTGATTTGCTTCACGTCGGCGTCGCCGTTGCATCGCCCACGTCGACGATGTATCGCCGGCCCATCGCCGATGCATCGACGATGTATCGGCGATGCGGCTCGATCCTCCGACCCCTTCTACTCCGACCCCATCTAGGAGGCCTCTGCGCATGTCCTCATCCTCCTCCTCCTCCTCCTCCTCCTCCTCCTCCTCCTCCTCCCTCCTCCTCCTCCTCCCCCCCCTCCTTTTCCTCCTCCTCCTCCTGGACGCCGAGTAGATGGGGTCCGAGTAGATGGGGTCGTAGGATCGTGCCGCATCGCCGATGCATCGGCGATGCATCGGCGATGCGGCTCGATGTGGGGCTTACTTTTCTCCACGTTGACGTCGCCGAAGCATCGCCGACGTCGGCAGTGCATCGCCGATGTATCGGCGATGCGGCGCGATCCTCCGAGCAGATGGGGTCGGCGGATCGCGCGCGCATCGCCGATGCATCGGCGATGCATCGGCGATGCGGCTCGACGTGGGGCCCGATCTTCCCCACGCCGACGTCGCCGGTGCGTCGCCTACGTCGCCGATGCGTCGCCGACGTCGGCGATGCATCGCCGGAGCATCGCCGATGCATCGTCGGTGCATCGCCATTGCGTCGCCGACGTATCGGCGATGCGGCGCGATCCTCCGACGCCATGCGGGAGGCCTCCGGTTCTGGCGATGTCGCGGACCATTCTCGCTCAGAGTGCGTGTGGCAGCAGCGGCGGGACGATGAGCGAGCGAGGGAGCACGAGAGTAGGCACGAGACGGAGAGCACGGTTCAGCTCGAGCCCTGGCCTGGGACGCTTCGAGGCAGGCGGCGCGGAGGCAGCGTTCGGCAGCGGCGCGCGGCTCCCCGCCGCGCGGGCCTGTCCGCCCCGAGGAGGGCTTCTGCTACGGGCTCGAGTGGCCGGCGGGGCGGCAGCAGCGCCACCCGTTCCAGGCGCTGGTCCTGTTCGTCAAGGGCTCCCTCGAGGGCGCGAAGTTATTCGCGCTTCGCGCTTCGCGGTCCTCGTTCCTTCTCCCCCTCCTCCTCGTCCTCCTATTCTCCTTCTGGGAGGGCGGCGCGAGAGCGCGAAGTTATTCGCGCTTCGCGCTTCGCGCAGCGCGAAGCGCGAAGTTGGGAGCCCTAGTTCGTCGTCGTGGTGGAAGTCCTCTTCGTCTCGGGAGGGGAAAAAGGCACCCATACCGCTACCCTTCGCCCGTCGCTACCCACACCGCTGCTCCCTTTTTGGGCCTCCTGGGTGGCCCTCGTCGCCACCGCTGAATTCGCCTCGAGATCCTGGTCAGAACGCACCCCAGGAGAGGTCCAGGGAGTAGCGGTATCGGTGCCTCTTGGTTTACCCATCGCCGCCCAGTTTTGCCCCCGTCGTGGTCGGGATGGTCCACCCCTTCGTCCTCTCATTGGCAGGGGTCGCTTCCTGTCGGTGACGGGCCAAGCTTCAAAGAAGGAAAGACTGCACAGGCATCGAGCTTGCGAAGGTCACTGCGGATTTCTGCGGTCCGCGCTGGACGCGCCTTGGCGTCTCCTCTGGCGCGCTCCGCGGCAGCGGCTGGTCCATTGCCGATCCAAGCAGTCAGCACGGGCTTTCGAAAGTTTGTGTTTTATGCAGTGTTGCTGTTCCTCCTCGCGGACCTCCTCGTCCCCGCTCCTTCTGCCGTCCTCTTCCTCCTCCTCCTCCTCCTCCTCCTCCTCCTCCTCCTCCTCCTCCTCCTCCTCCTCCTCCTCCTCCTCCTTCTCTTCCTCCTCTTCCTTCTCTTCCTCCGCCTCCGTCTCCGCCTCCTCCTCCTCCTTTGGCTCCGACTCGTCGCTGCTTGCCCTATTCCTGCCGTGCGCTCCTCGGTCAACCAGGCTCCGTTCGGCCTTCGGCCCTGCGGAGCGAGCGGGCGGTTGTGGCCAACAAGAAGGCGAGGAGGGGTATGATGGACAGGAGGGGATCCATTGGAAGAAGAACAACAGTACACCTTAGGCGATGCTTAAGAAAACCTAAGTTTTCGGCCAGAGTCTCGATTATTCTTAATGTGACAATGTAAATCCCAAGATTTTGATAGAAACGTTGGGTTTTCATTCAAGTTCTGAGACTATGAATTTCTTAACCCATGATTTCTTAAGCATTTCGCAGGGTGTAGACGCGTTTGCGTTATGACATGAGGTCCGCACGGATTTCTCTGGCCCACGGAGCGCGCCAGCGGCGGCGCTGGAGCCACCGCCAGGGGAGTCCAGCGCCGATCCAAGACATCTGCGCGGGCCTTCGAAAGTTTACGTTCATGTTGTTGTTTGTTCATATATATATATATATATACATTCTTTGTGTTCGTCTCCGATCGCGGGGATGCGATGAGAATCCCCCAGGAGTCGAGACGTGCCTGGAAGCCTCAAGGTCCCCCTTGGAGGTATGGGGGGGAGGCTATGTGTGGATCCTAGTCAAGGACGTTGCTCACAGAAGAGACCGATCGGGGCAATGATTTCGCCGACTTGAAGCTCTCGAAGATTTGAAACTGCTAGAATCCAGCCCTTCCCATTTGTGTCCGAGTAGATGGGGTCAGAGGATCGAGCCGCATCGCCGATGCATCGGCGATGTGGCTCGACGTGTAGCCCGGAGTTGTCCACGCCTTCGTATCGCTGACGTCGCCGATGCATCGGCGATGAATCGACGATGCGGCTTGCTCCTCCGACCCCATCTGCTCGTACCCCACTTGGTGGCCCCGGCCTCCGTAAATCTAAGATCGGCGGCGGGCGAGGGGGGGGAAGTGAGAAGGGGAAGGCCTTCCCAGAAGGCGATCGGACTTCTCTGTGCCTTCGGGGAAGGCTCAGACAATTTCTCAGAAGGCCGTGGGTCTTCGAGCCTTCTGAGAAGAGAGGAGGAGGAGG